GCACACACACCCCTACACACACACTCACACAGACACACACTCACTCACACAGATACACACACTCACAGACACACACACACACTCACACACACATACCCTGACACACACATACTCGCATACACACACACTCAGACACATACAGACACACACACTCTCTCTCTCACACACACATCACTGCAGCCTCTCCCCTGGCTCCCCCGCCACCCTGACTATCGAATAATCCTGACCCAGGGCCTCCCCGCCTTCAGATGGGGAAACAGCGAAGGGAGGCCACAGGCCTGGGCCCCTGTCCCTGCTCTGAGCAGCCACGAGAACCCAGTACACACAGCATGGGATAACTTAGGGGCTGCGGGCACAGTGGCCTCCTCTCCGGTGCACGTGTCTCAGGCTGGAAGGGCTGCAGGCTGGCACCTGGTGGTGACAATGGGGACCCGAATGGAAAGCCAGGGCCCACGCTCTGATCACTGTGGGCGCCACGCCCTCTCCCGGAGCCCAGCCAGGGTCCCCCGGCCTCTCAGGTGGAGACGACAGTCTCTGCCCGTGTCCTCACTGACACGGTGCGAGCCTCCGATGGAAGGAGGCGCATGACCACTGCACACCATGGGCATGTTGCAATCATGCGTGTAAGTGAACTGAGGGAGGAACCCAGGGCTCACAGGGGCTCACAGGCACCTTAGAGAAAAACGGGCTTCCACATACGTGCCATCTTCCTGCCACGTCAGCTTTTCCAAGGAACACGCGTGACGGACCCTGAACACCGCTCCTCGGACCCACGTGCACCTCAAATGGCCTCGCTGAACCCTGGTGCGAGGGCAGGACCATCACGAGGCAGGAGCAACCCCGATGCCACTCGGCTGAACAGACACTCCTCATGCCAAATCCTAACACGCTGTGGCTCCGTGAGCCATGGCCACCAGCTCCGCTCTGGCCACCTATGTGGCTTTAATTTCTCTTCCACATGAGCCCGCCAAGCTCTGAAGACGTCAGGACAGGAAATCTTTGGAAATAGTTGATGGTGTAAAAAGCAATGACAATCTCCAGGATCCCGGCGAGCACAGTTCTGACGGTGTTTTTTTAAAAGACGATGCATTGGCCCGGCCGGCGTGGCTCCGTCCGTGGTTGAGCATCGACCCATGAACCAGGCGGCTGTGGTTCGATTCCCAGGCAGGACACATGCCCAGGTTGCGGGCTCGATCCCCAGTGGGGGTCATGCAGGAGGTGGCCGATCAATGATTCTCTCATCATTGATGTTTCTCTCTTTCTCCCTCCCCCTAAAATCAATAAAAATATATTTGTGGTTTTTTTTTAAAAAGAGGCTTTATGTCTGAAAACTTCGGGGCACAGGTTATAGAAACACTGAGCAGCGAAGATCCCTGTGCAGGGCGCGCGGAGAAAAAGTGGAAACACAGCCACTGCCCTCGGGCCCTGCTCTCCACACCCAACCCCACGCTGCGGGCATCTCTCCTAAGCACACGGTTCTTCTGTTGCTTTTAACATTGAATCTGCC